CTTCAGCCAATAATTGTCGGCAAATTTGCTCAACATAAAAACCGAAGGACACAAAGCTATATATATCTATATAATAATATAATAATAATAATTGTTATTACTTTACAAAAGTACATGTGTACAAAGACGCACAGGTAAATTGTTTTTCCTAGTTTCAAACGTAGTGTCGCCACTGACACGATTATTATTACATTTGAATCTACACATGTATTTACATTTTCCCGTTTTTGGTTGTTCTTGTGTTGTTGTTGTTTTTTGTTTTGTATGCGTGCTTTCTCACTGTCTTTTCAGTCATTGCGGATCTTTATTAACCCTATCCATACGTCATGTTTTACTACATGTATCGTATCCATACGATGACGTGGGGAACTCTTTGCCACCACTCTCCAAAGAGGAAATTTACTCGTAAATCCGATCCGTACGCCTTGCTTAGCAGTCTGTAAAAATGATTTTTGAGAAATACTGAAAGTTTCAAAGAGATCTTCGCACTAGAAGTATTCTAAAATGTGAAAAATGCAACGCCGGGGGTACAAAATGACCCTAGGGCGTACGGATAGGGTTAAAGTTAACGAAGTGACTATTTCTCGGAACGGTTTCCGTTCTCGAGATCTTTTGGTTATTTGCCTCGCTTTCATTCTGCCATTCTGCGAGGATTGGGAAGAAGCATTTTTTTGCATCAAATTCAATTTCTAGAGGTAGAGATTTTTAAATGTCAGAATATTCACTGTATTCAGATACTTCAGTTGTGGTTGGGGCAACGTTCCCGGACTATACTACATTTGAAAATGCCTTCAAAAGGTACTGCGAGAAAACAAGACTGATCGACCTTGGCAGTAACCCATTTTGCATTTATATTTTCAATTTTAGTCTTCTAACAAAAAATAAAATCCTTCATGTAAAAAAATCCCTCGTTCGGAGAAATAGAGCTGGCCTAAAGTTAAACGATCTGGGTGATCTCCATGTTTGATCATGACTACGGTGTCTTCGCGGAAGGGACATAACTAAGGAGACTATTGTTTGAAAGTACACGTAAGAATTATTTCCCTTCTCAGTGTAGCGAAATAAATTGAAATTATCGACTTTAAAAGTGTTGAATCTACAGATTTATTTGATCTCATATATAGTGAGGTGCAAAAAAACCGCGAATTTTTTATGTTGTTGTAATCGCCCAATGCTGAGTTCATAGTTGTGTGGTGTGAACTCATATCACTCAACACTTGCCCCGAGCGTCTTGATTGGGCATTTTTGAGTATCGCAAAGATGTCATTGGCTACGTAAGCAATACACAACTCACGAGTCATCACTCACCACTGGGACACATTTGCAACTTGTTGTCAGTGGTGAGTTTATGCTCACTCAGTTCTGGGCGTATGCCTATAAAATCTGCGCCTCGAAATGTTGCATTCATATCGAACAGACGAGCTACAGACATGCCAAGGTTATCAAGGGAAAACAGAGAAAGAGCTGTCGGGCAACTGACGGTCGGTGAGTCGGTGGACCAGTCAGGTGTCCATCCAAGCAC